ATCTCCGGTCGCGTCGCCCCCTCCATCTCGCACTCCCTAAACCGGGCGGCTTGATATCGAGAATCCACTGCAATTTTCACCCCGCGCGAGGAGGTGGTCGTCGTTTTTCTTCGTCAATCCTTGCGGTCATATGCTTTGCTCGTGCCGCACCGTCTGGATTTCGAATTCTCAAGTTCAGTGTACTCGTATAGTCGTCACCAGATAGTTGCAAATATACTCCTGGGACCGTTACACTAGTTCTCGCCGGCAGAAGACTTTAGTTACAAGAGGGTTTAAGGAAGGCGCTTGTAACCAAAACAACAGGACAGCTCTTCAGGCCTACGTTACTCGGCTAGCTGGCCGGCGCAAATATTCCGCTCTCGGGAATCGAATACCCTCTTTTCCGCCAGCTCCTCTGCCTTCTGAATAAGGATCTTCTACAGGAGCTCCTGCCTTACAGTGGCGATACCATCAGCGCGTAGATAAAGGCTGAGTTTGAGGCTAAGAAAGAGCTGCTGAAAAATGAGCTTGCAAAGTCTCCATACAAGAAGCATCTGACCTTCGACCTCTGGACCTCTCCAAATCAGTATGCTCTCTTCGGTATCACTGTCCACTTCGTCGATCACTCGTAACAGCTTCAATGTCACCTCCTAGCGTTAAAACGCATTATAGGGAGCCACGGGGGCGAGAATCTCGGTCCAGTCCTACAGGATGTAATTAAGATACAGTGTAGGGAAATACAGTGTTGTATATCTCATGGCCCTCTTTGAAACCCAACATTAAATCCAATTTGCAATCCATGGCAATCCATGTCAATCGCACCGAAGGTTTGACCTCGCTGGCCTCTGTCGCCGCATACAGGTAATCGCCGAGAATGTCCCGGAGACAGTCACCAGTCGATATCAGTTGTGATACCATTTGACCAGCGCAAAATCCAATGCGGATTTCGAGTCTGAAATCCCTGCCCAACCCAGGAGCCATATGCAGGCGGACGGCTTCCGTCAAAGTCCTTCCTCTCTCTGTCTTCCTCAGCCAACTTGTCTTGAGACCAGTTCGTAAAAATGGCCCGACAATGCTCTCTACTTTGCCTAAATCGGCCATAATCGCCGCAAGTTCACCTTCTTCAGCTGACGAGGTGAGGTGCGGGTCTCCATCGGTCGCCTTGCTGCTGGAATGTTGCAACCACTGTAGCTGCGCGTGGGACACCAAAACCCACCCAAGACCCTCCTGACAAGAAATTCCCGCGCAGCTGGGTTTACTGCCGGACGTCCGAACTGCTTCTTCGTGCTCGACGTGCAGAGCCCTGGGCGAGGCAGACGACGGGGCATCGGGCTGCTGGGCTGACATAGATTCAAGGTCGCTGTCGCTGGGACTGGGAGTAGTATTGGCATCCTCGTCTGCCCGGGCGTATTAATCGAATATCCAACCCAAAGATAGGAAAGTCAATACACATACGAGTACTAGCAACGCTGCAGGATTGAACCCTGGTGCGCGCAGCAGTTGGAAGCCTGCCAAAAACGGCGGCATTTACACGCGGAGGCACATACTATTAGAAAACGTTATGCAGGAAACCCGGCTGCTACTGTCCGCGCCGTTCGTCAATCCCCTGTGGCGATGCTTCCATTGCAACCGGGCAGCTCTCATTAGGATGAGGCAGCTGGCCATTCTCGGTGAAAGCTGCGAAAGAATGGTGAAAATACCCGAGATCGAACTCAACAATGACGGCAAGCATGGTCAATTTCGGGCTGAGGGCGCTTGTCAGTGGAGGGCTACAGCCTTCAGTGCCTCGCTCCCTTCCACAGCATATTTTGTCGGAGCGTCCCGCCGTTGCAGCTTCACAGCCTGCTGATTTGGTGATAATGACTGGAATGGAAGCAGAAAATCCGCGAATGGGATAAACCGTTCCGCGTGTGGCTCAAAACAACGGAAGACCGCAGGTTGATTGACTAGGTGCGCTCAAGAATAGACTCACTATCCCGGACCGGTGAGCAAAGGTGAAGGGCGACAATGGCCGGTATTTACTTACCTTCACGGAGAGGGGGCATTGACGTCGATCCGCATGCTATTTTGGCTTCAAATCACGTACAAGTTCCGTCGTACTAACGAGCTGCGACGCTCCGTTAAGATGTTTGATGTTACAAGAGACACGGTATTCCGTCAAGGTGCCTGGCCATGGCTGAATTGATTTGATAAAAATGGAAATCACTTGAAAAGGATAAGATTATCGTTGACATCTCGAAATTCTAGTTGGAGCAAAATTTGTTGTTGACAACAATCAATCCGTTGTCAGTTAACAACGCAAAAAAGATGGGCTCTGTCGGGGATCGAACCCGAGACCTCGCACATGCTCAATGCCCGACGACACTGGGGATTTACCCGAAGCACGAATCATACCACTAGACCACAGAGCCGTTTGATGATGGTGAATTGTCTTCCATCTTTGCTTGATATTATTCGCCCAGCAACCTCCTGACTGATGCAAAGTGGCCTTCTATTCTAGCAATACTTGACCACATCGGCTAATCCTCTTCCTCATCATCTTCAATACCCAGAATACTCGATTCAACCACAGTAAATGTTTCTCCGCTCTCGATATCTTGAATCTGATAATTCAGGGCTGACGTCAGCATGGTAAAAAGCTCACCGTACCCTCGCATCCTCCCCTCCGTCAACCACCAACAACATCCTTCATATAAGTTGCGGCTGTGTCGCTCACAGGATCGATAACCGAACGGACGATAGCTAGCGCATCATCGCCGTCGATACCTGAGTTTTTCGGAATTTTCTCATCAGTACCGCACCAACAAAGCTGAAGCAGCCCATCGTGAGGCGTACTCACTGCTGTACACGATTGCATCTCCAATCTCGTAAACTGCCATTGTTGACTTACGATGAGTGGCCACGCCTCGCAATGATCAAAGAAATCCAGAAAGCAAAATTATCTGGTAAAGGGTCAAGTCTGAAATTCATCAAGTCACCAATCCTGCCGGTCAGCACTTGTTTTTATGTACTCCCCTCGTCACTCGGTGCATCACGTCAACATCACGTCACACTGAACCAATTCTCTGCCTCTTTGACCTCTCAACCGCGACCGTTGTTGGTACGGAAAGCTAATTGCAACGACAGCGACTCAAAGGGGCAAGCTTCTCAACCCGATGTCAACGATGCAAAACAGCCCTGATTGAGCCCCCATTGCTGTGCACTTCCAAGCCTAGCCCAGTTCTCAGTTGTCATGTCTGAGATTATCACGTTACAACAAACTGCAACAACACGAAGCGAATATCTGGGAAGTCAACTACCTAATTGGCTTATGAACGGAATGGTTCACCGCACACACCGACTCCTACTTGAGGAAGCTCAATCTTGTTACTATAGTATTGTAGATCTTTTGCATCGCCTTCACCACGTACAAGTTGGTTCGGTACTTTGGTACATTCAATAACCCTTTCGGGAATAGATCTGCGAATCCACCCCCTGTCCCTAGCTCCCCAATGTCATCATGCAGTGGCTCAGCGTAGAGTGGTTACAGAAATCCCATGCTGTGATTGACCAGGAACTGAATTCCCATCTACATCTATTATCCCAAAACGGTAAAAACTCATAAATCATGCCTTCAAATCCCGTGGGGTCCAAGGCTGAGACGTGTATGTTAGGATACCTGGCGTAGTCAGGCATTCTCACGAGAACGAGAGAAGAAGAATCTACTTAAGAAGCAAGAACATCACCACGATGCAGAATTTTCTCTTCATCCATCTTCATCATCATCTCGACGATCTGATACCCAAAGTCACCAGACAACATCATGACACTTCTCCGCCCCTTAACTGTTCTGTGCTCCCTCCTAGCCGCCACTACCCTGGCGAAGCCCCTTTACAAACCTCGCACACAGAGCATCCAATGGGGACCATGTGACTTGCCCAGTCTCAATACCAGACCCATCGAATGCGGCTCTATCCTCGTCCCGTTGGACTATACCAACCCCTTCTCCAACGAAACCCTCAAACTGGCCTTGATCAAGAGCCCCGCTGTTGTCCCACTCTCTCCCAAGAAGAGCATCCTCTTCAACTTTGGCGGACCCGGATATGAAGCCATGCAAACCCTCAACGGAATTGCTGATACTCTGCACAAGTACATCCACCCCCTTAACATCCCCCACTCAAACCAAAACTAACAATAAAAACAGCATGACAGGCGGACGACACGATCTCATAGCTTTTGACCCCAGGTAGGTAAACCACCTTCCCCAGCTTTCGTCCGTTTTCGGTCCAAATTGATTGTCACGATTCTAACAAATGATGAAACAGAGGCACAGCCAACACCCTCCGCTTCACCTGCTTCGCCAACCAGACCGAACGCACTTTAGCCAACGCCAAGTACCCCCTCCTCGCTGCCTCGTCAGAAGGCGACCTCACCCGCATTGTCGCCAACTCGCATGCCGTCTCCAACCTCTGCGCGGAGGCACACGCCCCCAACGACTTGACCACTCGTCCATCGATCCCAACCCTCATCGGCACCTCCTTTGTCGCTAGGGATCTAATGCAAGTAGTCGACGCCCTAGGCGAAGACGGCCTTTTGCGTTTCTGGGGTAATACCCCCCCCCCCCTTCCCTTCCCCATTACCTCCCCCCAAAGACTGACAATGTCAAAGGAATCTCCTACGGCTCCCTCCTAGGCGCCACAGCCGCCGCTATGTTTCCTGCCCGCATCTCCCGCCTGGTCCTCGACGGCGTCGTCAACGCGCACAACTACTACCACCACGCCGGGGTGGACATCACCCAGCTCCTCTCCACCGACTCTGCCTTCCGCGCTATTTTGGCCTCGTGCCTTTCCGCTGGCCCATCCCGCTGCGCTCTTGCATCTCTCAACTCCACCTCTGCTGCGGATCTAGAAAAAACCCTCCTAGACCTCGCCGAGTCTTTTTCTCGTCAACCCCTGGTAACCTCCAACCCCACAGGAATCATCACCAAGTCCCTCCTCCTCGAACTCTATTTCATCATAGTCAAGTACCCCTCGGGCGTCATCCCCACCGCCTTCTCTCTATTCTACGATCTCCTCCAAGACCGCACCGATCACCCTGAGCGCGTCAATAACTTGTATAATGCCCTGCAAGGTAGCGTCTCCACGGGGGACAACGACGCCCTTTTGGGTATCCTCTGCGCCGACAAGGGGTACGACAAGGTAGCTACCTCGGCGGATGATATCCGCGAGGATTTCACCGCCATGCGGGAAACCACTGCGCTGTTTGGGGATATTGCTGGCGCGGTGGTCACCATGTGCGCTGGGTGGAAGTTTAGGGCCAAGGAGCGGTTCCAGGGGTTTGCCACTGATGTTACTGCTACGACCAAAAAGATCAAGACGAAGGAGGCTGCGGTGTTGTTTGTGGGGAATACCTACGACCCGGTGACGCCGGTGGTTTCGGCAAAGAATATGAGCGGGTGGTTCGAGGGGAGTGTAGTTTTGGAGAGGAATGGTTTTGGCGTGAGTTTCTTTTTCTGTTCGTCCGTCTCTGAGGTGAAAAATGCTGACAAAAGTAATGATAGCACGCGTCGATTGCGCAGAGATCAGACTGCACTACGGGTATTTTCAGGGAGTATTTTGTCAATGGGACATTGCCGAGACAGGGAACGGTGTGTGAGGTTGATGAGTCTTTGTTTTAGACTGGGTGTGTGAGGTTTCCAGTTACCCACGCATTTACTGTCAAGGACTGAGGGACGGTTGAGAAAGTTGTATGAGAGTGTACGATAGTTGATAGATAGAGAGACGGCGAGGGCATAGAGTGAATTATATTGATTTCAGAAATATCTCACGAAGACAGGGCAGTAAAGAAAACGAAAAGTTCGGTCGACAAACACAAAAGGCAACTTGATAAAAGATGCATGTTAAACTAGGTATCAATGAGTTGCGTTTCCCTTTGTAAGACTTTAGTATATACGTCCCGAGCCCTTACCTCTCGGCAGGGATGTTCTTTTGCACTGAGTTTTCTCATCCCACCCCTCCCCTTCAAATCGTATACCACAGTAGCTAACATCACGCTCTCTCGGGTGGACTTACGGCCACGGGATCAATTATTCGTTGTCGCAGCCTTGGGTTCGTCTAGGGGCGATCAAAAACTCCAGAGGTACCGTGGGCCAACGCAAAGCTTGGGTCCACATGAAATCGTCCGGGTCGCGCTGCGAAAAGGGATCACGGCAGATATCGGAACCCATATTGTCGTAATAGCGACGGCTATCACTGCTATGAATAGCCCCCGAATTATAAAGATGGTCCGAGAAGCAAGCGTCCATATCGTAACCGTCAGCCTTGATCCTACTGCTGTGGTCTGCAAACGGGCGAACATTCAGTGGTGGATCTTTCTCTGTTGGGATCACGAAAGATTCGGCGGCGGCGGCTCTGCCCCTACCACCGTCGGTCCGCCGGACTACCAGGAGGAGGGAGGAGCAAGCGCAAGGAGAGATCTCAAGCTCACATTAGGAGCCACTTCGGAACGGTCTCCCGCAGAGGGGCGGTCAAACAGGATCCGAAGTGTCTTCCAGCCTTGGCTGTGACAGATGGCCTTGACATGGGGCAGGTCCCACTTGTTGAGGCGTCTTTCCTCCAGGATCGTAAAAGTGTCGAGACGAAGCCCCGGAAACATGTGTAGGATGTCCGTGGCCAGGTGGAAGCCGCGTGTACCGACAAATTCGAAGTAGTCTAGACACCTCGCTCGCAGGTGGCGGATCTTGTTGCGTCTGGCAGGTGGCAGTCTTTTCAGCTTGAGGTACAATGTGCCGGCGTCCAAGAAGTCGAAGAGAACCTTGCTGATCCAGCTGTCGTCTATTTCGGCATTGAGCTGGCGGCATACTCGTAGAATGGCGAGGCTGTGTTCAAAATACCGGACGAACTTGGACCGGTCTCCTAGTGAGCGCCAGCCTGATAACAGCCTCGTCGAGGAGAAGAGACGAGAGTAAATCTCTAGTCGGATTTCAGTCGGCACGGACAGGAGAAGGCTCTCGTGCTGCGGGTGCCATTGTGGAGAGGTTGTCTTCTCAGCCATGGTTGTATTATGTGTCAAGTATGCTGTCTAGGTAATATAGACTAGGTCGATGTTGGCGGGGAGGTCTACGCATTTCGTCGTGGTGAGCCTGAGAGTGGGTTAAGCAAAAGCTCCTGGTCATCGAGAAACTCTAATCAGCTCGCCCGGCATCCTCTGAGTCGAAGGAAACTCAGCTTCATAACTTCCCCATAGTTGCGAGATCTCTAGGGACAATGCACAGCTGTCTTTTGGTAGTACCATCTTACCGCATCTACTCAGCAGCTTCGAATCTGACTGGGAGGGGTCTCGATGCGGTCGAACCGCATGTGTTCGGGTCTCGTGACTTTTGAGAGCCTCTCCCGGGCTCACAGGTAGACCAGGTGGCGAGATTTCGTCCATG